AAACCAATGCACTACGGAGAGCTTTATCTTGATATTCAAAAAGATAACGCCATTTAATTTATCCCGTATCTACAAAAGACAGTTTTAAGATGAAACCATGGTGTCTATCAAAGGCCATTCCCTTTTCAAGGTTTCCACAAATGAAGGATTCAAAGTTAGTGAAGTTTGCGAGAGAAAATCAGGGTACGTCTGTTCTATAATAGTATAGTGATGTACTGTGTCAAAAGACGGATCTGCAATAGTCCGTCAGTAAGTGTAACTGTAGGATTGATGAAGCCACTCTTGAAAAGGGTCAGCCCCATAGCAATCTCTTAATCGCAAAAATTCTGCTAAGTCAAGTTGGTCTATTTTTGAAAGAAAATGTTCATCTTTCGTTAGGCAAAGAAAAGCCCTTCAGAGATTCTAATTTTTCCTATTCTGGAAATTTCAGCTTTGGAGACGTATTGCACGAGACAGATCGTTGTTTCTTTTTGTTAAAAGGGCAAAACAAAACAAAAAACCCACTTTGGAATGTTTTGTTAAAGGCTCGAAAAGGGAAGCGGAAACTTGACAGGTGTTGTAAGGGTATAAATCAGACCTGTTGTTCAATAGTTGAAAGTGATTTGACTCAGGACCCACTCAACATACTACTCAATGCTGAAAAGAGCACAGTGGTTGAGTGAGATAATTGCATAATAAACACAAAAGGAGTATTTTGGGCAGATTTTTTTTGCTTTAAAATCGAAACCTGAATCTGCTTATACCATCTTGAGTGAGAGAAATGAAAAGCTGAAGAGGCCAACGGGCTCGACTGTAATTGGTTCTATATGATGAACAAACAAAATAGCACGCTTTCGAATTGGCTGCAAAAACTTAACGAAATCGTTTTCCACCTAGACTAAAGAGATTTAGACCGGTTTGCTTTCTCGGTGAATTGCCTGATTTAGTAATTTTTGAAAGGGGAGCTATGATTGGGACAAGTGCAAGTGCACAAAAGGGGCCGGGGAAGATGACTCTTTTTCTCCAAAACTTGACTTGGCAGATATTGCAATTAGACTCCATTATAACTGGTTCCCTTTCGAATTGGATAAACTTCTTGTACACTGAGTAGAGTCTTTGGAGTGCCACCTTGATTACCTTACTATGAACCAGAATATAGTATACAAGGCTTTGCTGTCTACTCAGTGACGCTGTTTGTTAATCAATATTTTTTTCTGCTCTCCTTTTTTCTCTCCTACTCTGCTCTTTGCAAAAGGGTATTTTCAAGACCAGACATGTCTGTTTTGCAACATTACCATTCCCGATTCCTTTTCTTTGCTGTGGTTTGAAGATCTTCATGGGGTTTATATTTGGTTGAATGGTTAGGGAGAAGCTATACCAAAAAACACAAAAAACCCACACAGATGTCAGGAACACGCAGAAAAAACACGATTGACAAGCCCATAGAATTGTTTGAAGGAACACAGAAAAGCAATAATTATCGATTTTGACCGAAGAAGAAAGCACTGGCAAATTGTGTTCAGGTGGATAAGTTTTTAGAAATCTAACTCAATTCTTTTTACGAGCAAGAGCACTATAACACCTCTAATGTCAGAGAGAGAGAGAGAGAGAGAGAGAGAGAGAGAGAGAGAGAGAGAGAGAGAGGGGGAAGGGAGGGAGAGAA